CTCGTTAAAGGTTTTATCATTGTTTTACAGCGATGATTTATGAACACCTCGTTCCCTTTCCTACCTTCTTCTCAAACTCCTCGCCCTGCTTCACCTCACGGGGGTAGCCATCGATAAGGTAGCCCTTGGAGACATCAGCCTTGGCGATCATGGCATCCTTAATCATGTCTAAGACTGTGTCCTGAAGGCAGACACAACACATTATGATCAACCTTCACAATGATATTCATCTGCTAGTTTATTATACTGACAAATGTTGTCCACCCCATAAATATCAATGAGGGTAGGCTTAATGACAAAACAGCACCACAAACTAAAACCTCCTAAATGATGATGTATTATAGATAAAGTTGAATCAACACCACTCTGAATGACCTTATACACTCAGACAGAGTTTAAAACAGGACTGTCCGTTTCTCTTACCAGGGGCACAAGCTCTCCCTTCTGCATGATGGCCTGGAGCTGCTTCCCCCTCTCTGAGCCAGAAGACACTTCAGCACGGAGCAGATCTCCTGATGACAAGTGAGTGTAGCCATACTTGGCAACCACTTTCTCACACTGGGTGCCCTTTCCAGAGCCAGGCCCACCTGAGAAAGAAAGGCAAAATATATTGGTGTGCCAAGACAGAGCAGCTTCTCAATGTGTTTTGATGGTGCAAAAATAAAACAACATTGTGTAAATGTGTGAAGTGTACTCACCCACTACAAAGATTATCTTTGCATCTTTAATTTTGTCTGAAATGAGAATGTCAAAAAGAAGTCAGCACATGTCATTTGATATGACAAAGCTTTCTTCTAAAACAGTTAAATTCAAAAGTCAATGAATTTGAGAACAAACCATCTTGACACTCAGAAGTAGAGGAAAGGTCTTCATTGATATCAGAAGTACTCATATTTTCCTTTTGTTAGTCGCAGGGCACTGTGTCGCCTGGTCCTCCTGTTTTGACTGTTGCTTTGGTGTATAGCTTTGTGTTATTACTCAAACAGTGTTGCTATGGCAACTGTTGTTTCCTGACCTGATATTGTTATTCAGCCAGGTAGCTGTTCTCATGGAACTACATCTAACTAAGTCTGAGTTATAAAACATAACACATTTTATATGTTTAGAAAATGACTGAATGAGAAACATACACTTTTAAAATGATCTAAATATGTTGTCAATGTGTGCGGTGTAACTATATGCAAAACATAATTGTTTTAGAATATTTAGTTCCTAATTAAATGCAATATCATATACAAATATGGACTTCTTTTTAGAATGGCTTACATAGTGCAGTAAAGAAAAAGTAAGGTCTTTACTGTATTCTAAAAAATCACCATAAGAGGGCAGTAGAGTCTTAGACAACAAGTGTGCTTCTGCCTTATCATTTATCCAGTACGAATGAAACTACAGTCTGGTGCTATACAAATGACATAGCAGCATTACAATCCTCCAAAGGGAACTTTTTGTTTCTCTTTTGTTTTATTTATTCAGCACCCATGCTATCAGGCCCTGGGCTGTGCTGTATCTTTTTTTATTCACACATAATTAATCATCATCAATCATCAATCAACCAGACATATTATTTACCTGCCATTGTGTTGCGTTAGATGAGTTTATCCTTTAACTGGAAGACAAAAAAAGGACACAGAGTAAGTTCACTGCTTCAGTAACTTCCCCAAAAGCATTTATTTAGTGTTACATAACAGTGTTTTTTTGGTATCAGTTTCGATGTTACTAAAACATTCCTCATTTTCTTTTATAAACATTTTGTACGACTTAATAATGTACAGTAGACCAACACAAGAAACCCACTTAAATGTTGTACTTTTAAATGATACATTTTCCTTTTTTTCACTCATTCTTCCTGTCGAGTGAGAACTTGTCAAAGACTTACCAAAGTGGACGCACTTAGCTTATAAATAGACCAAAAACAATGCTAAGAAGCCTTTCGGTGTGTCTCATTATCGATAAAATGTGCAAGTCCCTCAACATTTGATGGAGCCAGGAAATGCCTGGTTATATAAGGAAGAAAACAGCCATGTGGTTTCCTGTTTACACTTCTGGTTTAGATTACTTAAAGACACACGAATGAGGAAGGATTTATTGGGCGTTCTGTAAACAGATATCTTCAGCTAGCTGCTTGCAAGTGTCATGTGTCTCTGGTTGGAAATGAGTGTTTGAAAGATCTCTCTTTAAATAACTTTAACATTTGGCTCAACAGGTGCTGACCGTGTCAAAAATAACGAAGCAATTTTGCATCTGAAGGGACTCCATAGGTCACATTGGATGATGCTTTGAATAAAATGCAGTACATTTGCATGGGTTTTCAATTATTTTGATCTCTTCAATACAGCTACTGATGCTTGGCATTCATTTAGAGTCTGAATACCACCTTAAGATAAGTGTAAATGTGAATAATGTAGATTACATTTTGACAATTACTACTATAACATCACTGTGTTAGTCAGATTTCACTACAGTTATGCATTCTCCAGTTTTGACCATTATATTTGTCTGTCAATTAGTTACTAAATTCACACACACAGGCACGGTATGTTCATCCAGGATCCTGAGAGGTTGCTGGCGTGAGTTTTGTGAAAGCAGATTTGTGAGACAGGAAAAGGTCTGATTCCTTAAGTTACGTGGTAAGAGCCAAGCTTGGATCTAAGTTTCTAGGCATGGTGAGGAGGAAATTAACATACTGTACTACACACACAAAATATATCAAACCTCTAGATGTAGTAATGGGAATTTAGACTTTACCTCAAAGTCTTGAAATGTAATCTGATAATCTATTTCTCCTATAGTCTACATAGCAAGACATTTGATTACTTTAACAAAACCTGGATTTGAGATTTTGACACCAATGTGGTTGTTTGTTCACTGCCCCATACTTCAATAAAAACAATTACTATAAGGCCAGATTGAAAAATAAGCTTTATTGTATGTGTGGTATAATAAAGGTGATATCATTTGTTTTATTGTAGCTAGGCTGCAGAAGAGTGAGACATATTGTTGTATTATACTGTACATGGTTTATTTTATATCTAGAGCAAAGATGTGTTTCCTGGTTCAAGATTAGGAGTACACCCAAACTGTAAATGCTCAAATTCAACACTCCTCGGGCCTTCTCCTCAGGTGTCCGGTTTTATGTCATGGTTACTTGACCCTGTGGTAAATGTCACTTGGAGGCCGGCATCCAAGTCAGCAAAGAGCCTGTTTGGGAATCCCTCCCTGGCCTATTAGGGTGCCATCGTCTGGGTCTCCTGATTTTTTGGCATGTCAGAGGTGTTATGGTTCTCATGCGGTGCAGACAACATCCAATACTGCATGGAATTGTGGCAGCCCAACATCACATGTCTTTGCTGTAGTGTGATTGTGCTGACACATTTTCAAACACAGGCGTTATCAGTGCTGGAGTTGGTGTGCGAGGTGTGTTTGGTGTGCACTATACTTTGTAAGGACAAAGCCCAATAAATGTTCTGTAGGATATTTCATTATGTAACACCATGTAATACCATGCAATAAGCCGTATGTAACCTGATATGAGGAGAGCATGTGACTCTGTAATTCTATCCTTGAAGTTGAACTGTACAGATAGATACTGGACTCACCACAACCCCCTCCCAAATGTTAAGTGACCCATCCCACTCTCATGTCTTATAACTGCTTTTTAACATTTAGCCCTGCTAAAAAAAGACTCAGCTGTTAAGGGATAGCGTGTCGACCATTCTTAAAAAGCACCTGGGGGCTGAAGCTTTCACTGTGGGCCAGTAGAAGCAACAGGCGTGAAAACAAAGTACTGAGCACTTTAATGCATTCTCTCTGTGTACCACTGGTTACTGAGCGTACTGTTCCTTTAAGGGAGAACAGGGGACCCTTTGACGTCAGTGCAGTGGGAGATATTCCATGGTGTTTATGAAAGGAGGGATGGAGCAAGATTATTTCTGTGTTAGCTATGGCTTTTGTGGACGTAGTTAGTGCTCCAAATTGCAAGCTTTGGTTCACTTTAATGTAGGGCAACTACTCACTAGAATCAATAGTACTCAGCCCCCTAGTCAGTTGTTAATGACCATTACTGGGGCTAAAAGAATGGCAGTGGAATTAAAAGGCTACAGCATGCATGATAATGACCTTTAATGTGTGTAGATGGAGGATAATGTTAACATCTCATTAGAGCGAACCATTTGCAATAAAATGTCTGGGGCAAAGAATAGGAATAAAGGATATACATATTTTGTAGCAAAACAAATATGTCATGCATTGAGTGGCCTCACTGTCAATGACACACAAGAGCACCATGCCTTGAAGTATACAGAAATGCCTGATCTTCTGACAACCATTATTTGACAGTGTGACTAACCATGTGTCTCGTAAACCAGATGACAGTTTACCATTACAGTCTCTCCATCTTATCACACAGCCCTGCCCACTCTGCCTGCACACACTGTTTCTCTTTGATATCACTCTCTGCCTCTGACAGTCAGACCTACTCCCTGTCATTTCATGCTACCTCCGTGGAGCCTTTGTCCTCTGTACTGACCTCTCGGTGGCGGTGTGGCTCTAGATCCCAGTGCAATGGGCTGCCTTTCCTGGATCCCCGTGTGTGTGTGTCTGCACAGTTCCTACTGCATGGCAGCCCTTCCTCCCCCTTCCTATGCCTTTTTATAGCTCAGCTGAGCCTGCTGAGCCGGCGTTGCATTCTGGGTAAGAGGGAGGGCAATAACGGATGATGGGCAGAAGGAGGCATGGGTGAAATTATGGGGAGAGGGAGAGGGGAGGGGGTCTGTGACAGAACTGAACACTGAGTCATTAGACTAGAGCTTTCTGTGCATCATTCGATTATACTAAAAAAGGTGGGCTTCACTTATTTTTATTGTATACTTCTATATCTATATTCTTATTATTATTATTATCATTTAAGCCCAGCAGAAAGGTAGAAAGGCAGACATTTGAAATATGTTTGAACATATATAATCATATTAATACAGGTGTTTTTAATTATTTACAGAAATAACACAAACATTTTTTAATAGAATTCTGCTTAATAAGAAATCAGCAGCTCACATGTCATTTTTCAATGTACAAAATGTGATATTTCATAGCTATATTAACTTATTGTTGCTCATTTAATTTCCCATAGCATCAAAAGATGAAAACTTTACAAAAGCTTTGATAATCATTAGTTTGCCAGCACTAAATGAAAAAAGGTAATTTAAACATCTGAACCATTTTATTAAAAGCATGAGGGGACATATGCATGTCCTCATATGGAACATAAATACAAAATATATTTATATGTACAAGTTATGGCAAAGACAAATAGAAGCATACAAGGTACTTTCTAGAAATGTTAATTCACAAAAAAACATTAAATAGTAACTCCCAATGCGTTATATATCAAAGATAGATGAATCAAACCACTATGACCCTGGAACATGATACATCCTAGCTCAGCACTTAAATCTCTAAGGTTCATGAGCTTTGAGGTACAAAAATGAGGTATGCACTACTTTTGAATAAAAAGCTAGCCCATAGGTAAGGTCAAAAACTGTTCTTACAGTACCGTTATACAGATGCTCTGTTCAGCAAAAGGTTTCAAAACCTCAGCCGATTAAAAATGTCTCTCGGCAGTTTGTACCTTTTGCTGATTTTTTTATGGCAACAAAGGGATAGAAATGTTCACTGACGTGACACAAAACACTGTATTCTTAATGAAAAGAATTGCAAAAATCTCCAAATTTAAGTTAAAAGTTGAAAACATTTTGGCCCCACACCAAAGGGAACGTTCCTCAGTGTGGTCATACTTGTACTTTATCACAATATTACTATAATAATGTTGTCCTAAAAATATTTAAGAATATGGAACGCCTTTTATCGCCAACAGATGGTGCTCTGTATTTCACAGAGGTAGTACAAGGTTTTGACCACAGCGAGGCAGGAAATCGGCAGCATAAACTAGAATTAGTGTTTTAACATTGTTCATGGTATTAGACTCATCAAAGTATGACACATTCGTCTGCTTCTATTCCTATGTTAGGTCATAATAATAATAATAATAATGGCAGTAAGCAGTAGTATGCTATCAGAAGTTGAGAATGTCATGGCCAGCAGATAACATTACAGCCGAAAATAAGCGGAAACATGTACTTGGAGACAGAATCAAACTCTATTCTCCAATCTATAAAAGAAGCTTTGAATTGTTTGCTCAGTCACCTTGGTTACTGTGTGAAGAGATGCATTTTTATAAATGCAGAAATGCACATAAATAACACTTCAGATCCAATCAGTCTGCTAATTTAAAAAAATTCTAAAAAACAAATAAGTAAGCATGGTTATCAAGGAGTGGAATGTTTGAACTGACCAGAGCAGTTTATTTGACACTAGATGACGATCCTATAATACTGTTACTGCACAAATAACACCCATTTCTGTGAGCAGTGGGAACCACAGAGATTGAATGATAAAAACATTATTGATCAGTCGACTGAATAGATATATTTTGCTGAAAAAGTGACAATAATGTCTTTATAAAACCAGTCATATCTCTGATGTTCTTATCAACTGTTTTCCTATCATTGAATCTTTGTGATTCCAACCACCACAGCTGTAGGTCTCCACATTAACTCTGTATGCCCATCGCGTGCTTCTACAAAACACATCTGACACCAGGGAATACAATCTTGGGTCTGAAAAAAAATGCTGATTAAGGCATTATATTGAGTACATATCTGTTTCATGTTACCCCAGCGAGCTTAAACTCTGCTTGTTTCCCCGTTGTATTACCACACACATTTAGAACATAATACATCGAGCAACATTTGACAGGGCACCAACTATTGCACATGAAATTTGTTACTAAAAAAATCTTGTTAGTTCACCCTTCAGTGCCGTCTTTAAATGTTGCCTCATCCCTCTTTCATTTCTTCTGCTTTCTTTGACAGGAAGTATTGCAGCATTATTCAACAAGTCCTAGCTGGGAAAACCACCAGGGGGCTCCGGGTCAGGAGACGGGGGGTCGTCCTGGTCGTCTGAAGGCAGATGGACGCGCTGCTCGTCCATACGCTTGGCCTGCACCCTCTGGATTAGACTGAAGAAGTCTTCATCAGGCACTGTGGGGGCGTGGGGGCCTCCTTCTGGTGGGGAGCAGCGCTGATCGTCAATCCTGGAGGACTACAGGAAAATAGTGTTGAAGCAAGTGTGACACAATGGGGTTTAAGTGAAGCTAATTATATTGGCAACCTCTTCTATTCCCCATACAGCAATCTTACGGATTCATAATACTTATAACTAAGGATCTATGGCAGGGGTGTCCAAACTACAGCCCGCCAACCATTTTGAATCGGCCCTCAGCAAATTAAAAAAGTATGACTTAAGTACAACAAACTTCTGCTTGTCTTATATTGTACTTCTTAAATATATATGTTCAAATATATTACACAGTATTCATGTGTTAATAAGCCCAATTTTCAGATAAATTCAGTCCATTAAAGTTGAAAACATGTTCTAACAAATCTAAGTTGATAATAAAAAATCCCAAAAGCAATCTGAAGCTTCTGTTTTAAGGAATGAGCTGCTAACAAAATAAATGAAACCCTATGGAGAGCTGTGATGTAGGCTTACATCATTTCCAGTATCAAGAAAAATGTACCTACATTGGGTTGATTTTTCCAACTTATAACTGAACTTAAGAGGCAATATACCTCACCCCTAGGGAGAGGCCCAGCCCTTCGTATATTTTTCTGTATGTGGCCCTCGGTGAAAAAAGTGTGGACACCCCTGATCTATGGGGATTTACCTTTGAGTTCTAGTCATGTGTGAATTGTGGCTTTACCTGACACTTGATGAGCATGTTGAAGAAGTCATCGCTGGGTTCTTGATGATCTCCCTCACCCACAAGGTGCCCCAGGTTGTTATGGGTAATCCTCAGGCCTGGGAGGTTACCAACATTAACCCGCTGGTCATCTAGCCGGCGGCTCTGGGAGTTAGCGATCAAATCGAACAGCTCCTCCGTCTGCGGGGAGGTGGTGATTGACGGATCTAGGAGAACAGAGAAGAGAGCAGTTATTAAACAAGAGGTCATTCATTCTTAAAAATATAAAGCAGGTATGCAAACACTTTCTTTAACTGACCTTTCATCTCATTCAGGGATGCCACAGAGTTGGCAGCGTCTTCTCCATTGTCTCCATTCTCAGGCTCATCAAAATGGCAACGCTGGTCATCCATGCGGCTGCTTTGGAACTTGCTGAGGAGGTCAAAGAAGCAGTCTTCATCGGAGGGGTCCCGGCCCAGCTTCTGAGGAAGAAGATGTGATTTACATTATTTTCTACCGTTATGCTGAACCGTTACCTAGATCAGAGAAGTGCGATCTGTAGATGACTAAACTCGGTGACAGGAGTGGCGTGAGGGATAGGATTCTTTAGGTGGCCGGCATGTGAAATAGAAATAAATCTGAAGAACTCACATGGGATGGCATTCCTGGTGAGAATACCTTGGCCCAGATACTGAAGGGGTTACAATGTAATAAAATGTCATGTAAAAATAAACATCCCATTTGTATTAAAGTTAAAATTGGCCCACATAGTGGTGCCTTGTAAGCGCAGATGATCATTTCAACAGATATAGATGAAGCCGCTGATCATGTTATAACTTTAATGGGATAGAATATAAAAGGTAACATAATGTATGTACAGAAGTGTCTTTGTTATATTTGTACTGTTTGTTTAAATCTCTGGTTTGTATAGTTCAATCTTGGTCTAATAAAAAAAACGTGACTAGGTAACTAAGTAGTCATTGGTTTAAAATGTAAACATCAACTGTTTTGGTTTAAGATTCTGCTAGCAGCTCTGGAAATGAGCATACAGCTCAAATCAATCAGCTGATCAATAATGAAGTCACTGACTGACGGAATAAATATGACTTCCTCACGGCTAGTTATGTCTCGTAGAGCTGCTCTCTGAAAGACGCTCCCTTGAGTGTCACAGTCTGGCTGTGTGTTTAAGCTTTGCAACTGAAGTGGATAACATTATGCATGAAACTGTGTTTAGCTACAAACACACTGAGCCTACAGAGCAGATGTTTGACCAGCGCTACAGAAACATACGGGCAGTCAGACTGAGATGTTTACGATACTGAATGAGAAGAAATCTACTGGACAGCAGCAATGACATTAGTTTTACAAAATAAAAGAGTAAAAATGAACATTTCTGCTAGCTGTTTAAAAAAATCATTAAGTTTAATAACATCACTAATTTAATTGTCAGATAACATGAAAACAATTTAATGAATAAAAAATGTTCAATATATTTTTTTAAATAATAAACTAAAAGTACAGAGAAGTCTGATCTCCTCTATCTTATCCTCACAATTTTAAGGGCTCTGCTTAGAAATGCCTGGGGTCTGTTCCAAAATTGGGTTTAGTAAGAGATCTGGATAACCCCGCAGAGTAAACCCCCCCTCTAATCTGAAAAATAGCAAAGAGACTTCTTGTGTTTCGACGTTCAACAGAAAACTAAAAACTACACAAATAATGAAATAGTTTCTAAATCCTTTTCAAAATAGTTTTCCATCGAGCTTCAAATCTGAGAAAATGAAGAACTTTGAAACCATAAATCTCAAAGCAAGGATTACATCTCCAGAGGTTGTGGCCAAAACTGCCTATGCTTAAATTGCAGCTAAACTTCTTTACTCTACCCCTAACAATATTCAGTTACATTGTACCATCTGGTCTAGCATTATGACACCTTTAACACTAAAAAGTGAATAAAGTTCAAACACTTACTGTGAAGTAGGTCAGGGTCGACTAGCAATTTATTTTACTCAACTCCATTACTATGTCCTCTGCTATTGATGCTTGGATTGTAAAACCAGACTAAGCTTCAGACAAAACAGAACTGACTATTTCTGAGAAATAAATCCCCATTGCACAAACTACCTGAAAGTAGAGCAACATGTCTATGCGTTGAGGAGAAACAAACCGTTACTTGTTTAAAGAACCTAAAGGAAAATAAAGATAATCGCACTATAGAGTTATTCAAGCGGTAAAACATGGATGAAATATCTTACCAGCAGCACTTCTTCTTTGTCCTTTATCTATGGCTCTTTCTCATGTCTCTCTGTGCTCCCTTTCCCCCTCGCTCTGTCCAGACGCCTGGCTCACACCTCCTTCTCCCCTACTTGCACCCACCACTTTACTCTCTCTCTCTCTCTTTTTGCTCCCCCGCTGTACTCGACGCCCTCCCTCTAATTTCCTCTCCTCCTGTATCCCTCTATTCCAGCCCCTGTGTGAATCCCTGCCATCCACTCTCTGTCTATCTCTCTTCTCCTGTCTCACTCCCTCTCACTCTCTGTGGCTATGCTGCCGGGCATTTTTGTCCCGTTTCGCCCACTGTGGGAAAACAACTCATTATGAGAAGCGGGGGGGTTGACGCTGTGGGGAGGGTAGCAGCTCTGTGATCAAGGTCACATTATCAGCAGGGGGGGGGGGAGAGCTGGTCGGAGAACAAATGGGAGGAGGGGAGTGAGCGGGTGGAAAGATGGGTGCAGGGGTACAGTCATGAGGAAATTGCATGACAACAGTGGCAGCCTGCAGAGAGATCAACAACCTCCAAATGACAGGAGTTACCAATGTCAGCACTTTAGTGGTTTCTAGGAAACCATTCATAACCGAGGATATCTCAAAAAGAATCTTTCATGGAGTTATGTTCTTAGTCAGCTGTGATTTATAGCAGTTTCTGTCCTCAGTAGCATGCTTTGTGTGTGGATCTCCTCACTTCCCTCTCTGTGTTGTCCAATTAATCAAGTAGGCCAAAGGGGCAGAACAAGAGAGAAAGGAACATGTGATGGTGAGAGAGTGAGAGATAAGGTAGAAAGCGAGTGAGAGAAGTGTGAGGGGGGAGTGAGTGAGTGAGAGGAGAGTAAAAGACTAATTTTGCCTTCTAAAACTTACACTTTCATATATTATCTATTACAGATTTAAACATAAGTTAAACTTAAAACCCTTTATCACATGATCGCTTGCTATCCCAATCACCTGCTCAAGCAGTCAACCAATCGTGTAATTCAAAGTATTACCTATTGTAGCGGTACTTTGTAATGCTTTTTTCAACCGGTGAGTTTGCCGACTTTTTGCCTTACACAAGTAACTTTTTGTCTTAATGCATGTTGCCATTCACTGCCTATTTGAGAACCTTTCCCAGAGTTGGTTTCATGCAAAGCAGCATACCTTTGTTTACCAATAAGATGTTTAGGGTTGTTGCACCCTAACATGAGTTCAACTGGTTCATAAGAAGTTACAAGGCTAGAACGTGAACTGTGAAAAATGATTTGATGGTTCCAAATCCTTGGTGCAATATATCAATTCCAACTTTCCCTGACGATGTTTTCTTAAAGAAATCACAAGTTCTAGCTTTAGGAAAGAGTGGCCCAACCGCACCGACATACAGCTGGCTTCAAAAGATTGACATAGTTGAAAAAGGGTACGCTTTAGTGTCATTTGGATTACCACCATTTAGCTCTCTAGTCCCTCGTGATGATCTATCATCATGCAGCCCAGTAATCTCCGCTCTTATTTAGCATGTGAGCTTGCTGATAACAACAATTAACATTGTCACAGAAGCAATGCATGAGAAGGCGCCATGGGGGAACAGAACTTTAAGGATAGAACAGCTGTGAAACGGTTTATTCATTAAGAAACTAGTTCACATAAAGTGGACCACTGTTGGCATTTAATGAGAAGAAACCTTTTATACTGTATCTGACTCCTAACAAAACCTCCTGGGAAATCAAGAGAAATGTGCCTAATTTAATCTCTCTAATTCCTCTCATTTTCTCTTTAAAGCAGAAGCCCTGAAGACATTTTGACAGGGGATGGACTGAACAGACAAAAAGGGACAAAGTAGTTAGGAGAATTCAGCAGTCAGCATTTTAAATCCCTGTGATGCTTTCTAGGAGAAAGATTAAAACCTATTTTCTCAGGTGGGCTCTCAGGGTTCCTGTGAGTGAATTAAAAGACTAGCATATCTTACATTCATGGCAAATGTGAACCGGGGCTGTTATCACACAATTGTGGTGGGCTGCTTAATACTCTGAGACATGAAATAGAATGTAGAGATCAGCAGTCTTTTCAAACACTGACTCAAAACTCAAAGTCCCAAAAATGAGGAGTACTTGAGTTGTGATAATATTGGAACCTGGTCTCAGTGTTATGAGGAAAGCTCATTTCATTATGATTATATCTGTTTCAAATTATTTGACAATATGCAAAAAACGTTTTACATTACAGATAAAAAGGTAGTATGACGGTATTCTGATTGTGATATAATAAGATAATAATAACTAAACTAGAGTGTTAAAAAAAAGAGATATTGCTAAAGCCAAAAATAGATTTTAAACAAAAAATTCAGAAATAGTTTTACATTTTGGATTGAATTTATAGACAGCTACCAGTCAGTTAGCTTATCTATGCACAACGACTGGAAACACCATAAGGAACACACTTGGGTCCGAATAGGAAGCAAATTAGAAAATAAAGCTACTCACTGCCACTGGAGGCGGGACTTGCACTGTGATGTCATCAGTGTCTACGGGAGAGTCCAACCACAGCCTCTCATCTGATGACTGGCTGTCAGGATAGCCTTTTCTCTTGCCTGGCTGCGACAGCTGACTCTTGGATCTCGGGGGTATACTTTCCAAGTCTTGGTTCTCACCATTCTGCAGCAAAAGAACATATTGTTAGAGCTGCTTCCATCACTCTTTGGGAAGAGGTGTGTCTGTGTCTGTGTCTGTGTGTGTGTGTGTGTGTGTGTGTGTGTGTGTGTGTGTGCCCCAATTCTCTCTCTGGAGTGAAATGTGAGTGATAAATCACCTTATCTGAAGAGTACTTCCACAGCTCCACACTGTCCATGCTGTTCCTTTTGGTGAATTTGGGTCTTGCTCCTACAGACAAAATGCATAAGAAAAATAAACATAGCTTATTACATAGCGTTAAAATAACTTGTCTCACAGCTGTAGAGACTCTGATGTCCTAAATGAAATCACGGATGCAAGGCGCTCTTTGTCTTTTATCATGGCAGCACTAGTCCCATGATGTTCAGAAAGGATAATGAGGTTTTAAGCAGACAACCAAACAATCTGTTGAGTTCATTGGACTCAGTTTTGCTTGGTTGAATAAGAGTCTGTTTGCCAGCTCCGCGCCAGACAGGGAAATGTAGGACACGGGTGTGAGTTTCGCCCCGGAGGAGGGTTCACTCATGAAAGCAAACATCACACAAAAGCCAGGCTGACATACCGATAAAGATTGTACAGTTCATTCATTCATTTTATGCATTTCAATCATGCAAGTTGGAGGGAATTTATTATAATAGTAATAATGAATCCGTGTTATTATGTGAGGATAGTGAGTAGATAGTTGACAACAGACTGCTTGAGAATCAAGAAAACATCTTCCTGAGACTGGGGGTTAGGTCAGGAATGTTCTTCTTACCCCAGAAATGTGTAAACACCCATCGCTTTCTCTCACATTTAGCCTCAGTTCAGACATTAGAGACCAAAGGTGTCTGTGTTATGTCTGCACTCGCCATAAGTTGGTTTTACGTCTAAATGGCCACCATATGTACACAGACAGTACTCCAGTTAGCTTACTCTAGCCCACATGTGTTATTTATGTTAAATATGAACTTAAAAGACCAGAATCTAAATACTAGTGTATGTTGTTTGAACATCTGTTATCATAGGGTTTTGGAGTTTCTTATAGTTGCCAATTTACTAAACCCCTCAGTCAAGTTTTTACATTTGAAATTCCTGATATAAACAATTTCCTAGAGCTCAATGGCTGTTCTTTTCTGATCCTATATCTGTGAGATGGGTGAGACACCTTTGCTTAACCACAGTGTGCAGAGTGCAAACTGGTCTATTTTTTTGTATGTGAATGCAAAACCTAACTGACCGAAAAACACAAATACAAGCACACACACAAAGCGTCAGGCTTTTTCCACTGACACACCCTCTCTCTTGAATAACTTGCCTACCAGATCATTTTATGAGAACTTGGAGAGTCAAAAACATATATTATTATTACGGTAATAAATGTTCATTAATTCTCAAATCAGTGGCCCTTTAAAATCAGATTAAAGTCTTATGTCAAAATGGTAGTATTGCTTTAGAAGGTAACTTAATGACTTCAAAGGTCACCTTGCATCTCAAACTCTGAACTGGAGGGTGAAAGGTCGCTCTCGTTGACCCCCAGAGACTCCATGAGCTGCTCCACATTCATTCTGGCTGTCAGTTCGCCGTTTCTGTCTCCAATCTGAGGAAGAAATGAAGAGCAGGGACAAAGAGAAACAGATTCAGATGGGGGAAATTAGGTTGATGCTCTTTTGTTTGTTTTTTAGAATAACTTTGAGTGCAAAAACAAACGTCCAAAATAATGCCTCACCTCGTTAGAGATGTCCAGGTGCTTTCGGGCAAAGTGGAGAGCTTGTTTGTGGTTCCCTAAAGACACGTATGCATTTCCTAGACTCCAGCAGGCACGGCCCTCACCAACTCTAATGAGACATGCATACAGACATATGTTAAAAGCCACTCCTGTGCTTATGCTTGTCTGTTTATAAGCATTATACTGTATATTGCTCATTGTACCTATCAGTAAGCTCCTCGGCTATGTACAGGTGTTTCAGGTGGTAGTCTATGGCCTTTTCATACTGCTGCAAAAGAGTGTAGGTGTTCCCAAGGCTATAACAGGCCTGAGCCTCCATCACCTGGTCCCTCAGCTGCCTGGACAGCTGCAGAGTTTTCCTATTGAAAAAGAAAAAAGGAACACATGGATAAAGTGAGAAGAGAAACATTGAAGATGAAAAAGGTATCAAATAGGTTATTAAGTTTAATAACATACATTTTGAGGTGTGTGGGAGTGTTTTGATCATGCATCAGAATTATGTTTTTTTTTCATTTTCTATTTGTACTTGATCAACATTTTCACTTTGTGCATAATTTGGTTCACTTCAACTTCCCTCCACTAGATGTCAGACTCCCCACTTTCCTCACCTGTAGTATTCTGTGGCTGTGTTGAACTGGCCCAGGAATATCAGGGCATTGCCAAGGTTACTGTAGGCTCTCCGTTCTGCAGCTTTGTCTCCGAATTCTTTGGCTATTGATAATCGCTGTGAACGACGGAACAGAAAAGTCAAGTCGAGACAAAATATATTTCAAACTGGCTCTTCTTTTTACGAGATACATACCACAAAACATACATGCCTTGTGTACAAGCAAAGCCGATAAGACAAGTCCAAGATGTGCTGCTGCAGTGCTGCATCAAATCAGCTTCTCTGATTTCATTTAAAAAGAAGTGCAACCTCTCCAAGGCAAAATGATAGATGTGTAATGGGGAAGCGAGGAGAGCCCGGCTTCTCGCATAAGAAAATAAGTGGTTTACAATGGAGAGTGACAGAAAACATGGGGCGAGAGAGTTTAAAGCCCTGCTTTCGAGTGATTCACCAAGAAACCAATTTCCTCCAAAAAAAAATTCAATAAGATGTCATCAATCTCTGCACAATGTGGTCAAGGGAAAAGAGGATTGTGGTCCACTGAAAAACCCACCATGTAGCAGGACTAGCTATATATACACACATGACAATACATGAAAGAAGTACTCAAAATGGCTGTGTGTTAGTGAGTCTTACATGTAATATTTGAGTGAATCTGTGCAGGGCAAACCAGGTAACATCTTTCTCAACAAGAAGCAAATGGATGAAGTCCTTCAACTGAAATGAACAGCCGTGTAGTCTGACTGCACCTCTGAGCTATGAGCTATGCAAACATGTTTGAACGCAAAGCAACAGTAAATCAAATTGTGTGGTAACCACTTGTTTGCTTCTGGGCTTCACATGGCAGACGTGCACACAACAATGCCAACCACGGGTAGAATGTATCATGGGCTTCAGGGAGGACACTCAGAGATCCCTGGCTAGGACGTCATAGAGCACAGAGCACACTCAGAAGCCAACAAAACACCCCAGACCATATTTTAGCGAGCATGTTAATGGGATTGATAAGAAAACCAAATATGAAGAACCCAAAACAGGAACATGAGTTTATATCTGTGTATTTGTGTAATTATATTAAGAGGAGATGAAAAATGTTGAATGACCTTGTGTCAAAAAACAATGTTAGGCTGTTCCCTTGGCAACGCAAGGTCACTGTTCCTGCACATCAACATGGCTGATAACTCTTATCGGTGCACTTTAAATATGATGCAGGTAAACATCTTGAATTTCTCACCTGACGATGGAACTTGATAGCTTCGACAAAGTTTCCCAGTAGGTAGTGGGTGTTGCCTAGGTTACCATAAGCCCTCCCCTGAGCAGCTCGGTCTCCAAGTTCTTTGACCAAAGACAAGTTCATCCTACAGAGAGAAGTAAAACATAAGAAACTAAGTTGCAGCATGTCAATTATGTTAAAGTAAATGTTATTATATATGTTAACATTAGACAATAACTTAATATAAAACCCAGTCTCACGGCATTTTGTGTTATAGACACAAAATACATTTTCACTAACACGATTTTCCCTTTTTTTTTCGTGTCACACAGAACGATTTTAAAAGCAATGTATTTCTATTGGTAGTGTGTTTCGTGCCGGCACCACGTCTTTTTGTCCGGTCGGGTCTTGGAAGACCGGAAGCTGTGTGGTTCATAAAAATATTTTCTTACTCAATATCAAATGATTATTGTTTTTATTTTTAATTTTATAATGTCAGACTTTTTTTGCCATCCGTGAGGAAAAATAAATGGGGCTCATAATACTGAAATCTTTATTTTTTAAATATGTTTTTCCTTCTATTTCTTATTATTTGGTGCAGGCACGAAACATACTACCAATAGAAATACATTGCTTCTAAAATCGTTCTGTGTGACACGAATCAATAGATTACATTGCGTGACTATAACACGAAATGCCGTGAGACTGGGTTGTAATATAAGTATACAATGTTTTTCTAAATGCTATTATTCCCCCAAACTGACCACCACAAGGTCACATCTGACACTATATATATCTCAATGTTCTGAAGTTTCCTGCATTAATTGCATTTTGACAAATAAAATGCATTACTCTCACTAGTCTAGGCTACCACTGTGATTTAGATTTTTCTGTTGTTAACATTCACCTATTGTTTAAGTTCATTACCAAACAATACATACTCATAAAAGCCAGTAGCCTTCTGCAGTGTGTCTCTGACATCAGGAGGAAGGTCCCCTGGTTCCTGGGTGCAGCCCCATAACTGCTGCTTTCCCTTTGCATGAAACACGTTCCCTATGTTATACAGTGCCCTGGCCTCTCCAACCTGCAATCACATAATAAATAGTCACAAAAAAGAAAGATTAGAGCAAAAAGGAAATGCTGAAAAGCTCTCTCCGCAGATATCAAGATATGTGGTTATATCAATTACAAAATTAAAACTGTACGAATGGCCAGTACAATAATATGCTTAAACATTATAATTAAAAACACATATATAGTTCACAATGATCAGAACATTTTTTAATATTACAATTTAGCAAATAGATATAAAAAAATGTCTTAAATATGAAATAAAAATCTGTAGGACAGTGCTGATGTGGTTTGTTTTAAAAATATCACTCGTCACTGGCTTGAGCTTCAATATCAGGATACATTTATTTATTATCCGTGCAAGAATGGAAGTAGTCATCACATACGGAGCATATGGTACAACTAGTTCCCAGAACAGTGTCCTTCACATGCTTTATATACAAGAGAGGGAGTATCACAGTCACACGATGGAGGAATACCGGTTCAAAGCAGTATACAATGTTTTGTTTGGATTAGTTAAGACCCACGTCAGAAATGATCATGCTTGTCACATGTCTATCTCCATAGAGGCTGGATCATCATGTTAATCGTTATCACATAGCTATCATCTTCCTAAAACAGTGTGTCCTGACGCTCTTCCAGGTAATCATACATCCTGTCATGTACACAGTTACAGTTGGGCCTTTGTTATCACGTGCTACTCTGATATTGGAAGAGTACATTCAGTATTTTTCCCAACATGGTTGCAAGACCAAATAAACAATAGAGGCAGCAAACTGAAAGTATAACATCTCTTTCCGGACTTTTAAGAACATGCTATAATTAAAATAAATGTGCACGCTACCTTGTCGCCCTGTTCTTGAGAAATATCCAGGTGTCTTTGGCAGCACACGACGGCCTCATCAAAGCGTGCCAACACTTTTAGCGTGTTACCGAGGTTGCCGCTGGCTTTTCCCTCTCCAATTCTGTCTCCTATTGTTCTAAAATAGCAAAGAAACACATATGTTTAGTGGTGGGAGCGATACAGCACTACAGTTATCTATGTTAATATGATTTAGTGAAACAATATCCATTAAGGTTTTGCAACAAGATTTAATTGGGAGGTTTTAAAACCAACATTCTTAATTGGTTACTTCCTAAGATCCGGTCCCAGTGGCTCTTGTGAGACTGTAACGCAGCAAGGTAAAGCTCCCCGGGGTCTTTTATCATTTCCCTGCTGAAGGACCAGCTGCACTCACTGCAGGGGGCCGGATTACTCATAGAAGCTAAATATCCAGCTGGTAGTTGTCGAGTGTTACTATATGAAAGTCCCCTCACTTTTTGAGAAATGTCTCAATGTCAACATAGTAAAATCTCTGACACTCATCTCGTAAATTATAAAAAAAGATATTTCAGCAATGGTAAACTGAATCCTTTTTTCTGAGACCATCTGTATATGTAATAACTATTTCTCCTACTAATTAAACAGAACTCCTGCATGAATGACAGGAATGAAGTAATATAGCCCAGCTTCAAACTTTTTTTTTTTGCCTGGATTATTAACCCATTATCCGACCACAATGTAATATCTCTTATGTATTGAATAGCATTTAGGCTTCAGAGATAGCTACAACCGAATATCTGTTTGTTTTACATTGTACGATACTGTCTACGATGTAACAAGCACATTGCAAATTGTTAATGTTTTCTCAGATAATGAGATATGAGTGTCAATTAAATAAGCAACAAAAAAAGGATAACATATACTACTATGACTATCTGGCGAGTGATGATTTACAAAATAAAATCCCATCATTGCATTTTTGTGTACAGACAAATTATAGGCACATTTCCCACCTAGTATCTGACTGGATGAAAATACCTTTTTTTATATTTTAATGAACACAGCGGTTAGTAAATTGCGTCATGCATTTATTCAAGCACCTATTGTAATAAAACTCTGACCGGCAACCTGTCCAACTTGAACTGTGCAGCATGTAGCACTAACAGGACTAAGAGAACCATTGCTCACCTGGCCAGAGTCAGGTCGTGTTTGTGGTATTCCAGGGCTTTGCCATACTCTTTGAGGTAGAAGTAGGCGTTGCCCAGCTGGCTGTAGATGGCACTGAGGGTCTTCAGATCATCTGTGCCGACCTGCACGGCTGCCTCAAAAAACGCTGTTCCCCCTTTAAAGTCCCCAGCTTTGCACAACCGCTCTCCTTCCAACGCCAACTCCAAGCAAGAGGCCTCCATCCTAAAAGGTGCAGCAACACAGACACATAGAGAGGAAGACAGAAACAGGGTTAGCAAATGAGCACTATCAGAGAGAGAACTTATAGTAGCAAGTGCAATATCTTCTCAGGATGAGAACACATTGCCATTATCTCCATGACAACAAGGTTTGTAACCATATTGACTGTTGCCTTAGCAACTGAGTCTTAGGCTCATGGATGAGCACCTTGAAAATGTGTTGCCTTTTTACTCATTACTGCTCAAATCAGCTTGATTTGAGTCTGATATATGATTTACAGATGTTTTGCTTAATTTGTTGAAGAACTATATTTGTTGGCCGAAATTAAATGTACATCTCAATGCTCTCTAAAATTTGATCGGTTCATGTGAATATTGAAAAATGTACATAAATGATGTAGGTAATTCTGTGTCAACATGTGAAAACCCAAGTAGGTCTCTTCACTTTTCATAATAGACATAATAGAAGCAACACTTTTCAGAAAAAACTAACAAAAGCCAAGTCAAGAAGAGACTTCCTCGTTCTCTACAATGTATTGGTTACCATGACAACTGTTGGATCAATTGGGTGACTCAGGGGAGGTAAAATAAATGTTAACTTTGTGTCTATAGATCATTTCCTGATCGGGTAGTGAATAAAAACACATAAATCCTGTTAGTTTCTTAAATCTTTCTCCAGAGGGTCCTTAAAAAGACATGAAAGAGTGTCTGAGTGAATTGTATCCAGGGAGTAGATTTATTGTATAATCCAGGATAAACTAAAGACCAGCCAATTTGGTTGCAGCTCCAAATTCCAGATACGGTACTAGAATGCAGAGCTAAACAAGGATTATCCTCCAATCTAATCTGTTTCACAAAGGGCACCAAAATCACAATGGGAGGCAGTTCCAATGCCAAAAGGATGTAATGTTACAGTTTACTTGCATTACAAACATGATCTTCTTTTCAAAATGCATCAGCTTTTTCTGATCTAGAATCAGAGTGCTCACCAACAGTGCTATACAAGAACTGGTCCTTTCCAGTGTTCAAACAGTACCTGTGTTTTTTCTTGGTTCGGGTTCTGTCCACATACACCTGTAGCTCCAAGTGCAATGGCCTTAGCGAAGCTTTAGGTCGAGGTCCACGGTGGACCAGTCTACACACAGCTCTTTCGGCTCCAGTCAGAGGGCAAGGTTTATATGCCATCACGGAAAGGGCTATGTCCAAAGCATTTGGGAAATGAGGAACTCCTAACATAGAGTTCAGGGTTCATTAAAGCAATAAACTTAGTGAGAGGACAGTTCCAGCTAATAGTTTTTACAGAATCAAGTCCATAATTGTCCACTGATCGACTCAATAAAAATAAAAATTGTCAGCAATGTTGCAGCATACCTGGAAACAATCCATCTAGACGTTTTACACACAGTACCATACCAGCCAAGAATCACATCTGCTTTTTAAGTCCATGAGATCGTTCTCAGCGATGAACTCTCTCCTCAGACAGCCGAGCCAGTCAGGAAGCAATTGTAGAAAATTCCACCAAATAGCAGTTCCAGTTACAACTGTATTTTTTAGAAAGGAAATATTGATTTAAGAGTTGACAGAGGGCATGTTCCCCTAATCCAACTGCATTTGAATTGTCCTTTGCACTGTTGTCATTCAGTACTTACTATCCCATACAAAATAAATCCTATACTTCCATCTTCTTCAACCTGTCCTCAGCTGTGATCCATTGTTCTGCCTTCCCACTACAAGCCACAGTTAGAAATGAAGAAGTGTGTAATGTAGGGAAACAATTTGGGTGAGAGAAAAAGTACAGTCAGGGACGACAATGTGTGTTTAATACTGCTTAGCTTGACCATCGTTCCAATGAGAGACAGAGAGAAAGGAAAGAGACCATTGCTAATCCAGTGAGCTGCACGTCCTTGGTAGAGACTACGGAGTGTACTGATTGGCCAAGACTAATCCAACTATCTGCTGACACTGGCAGTAACACTAATAGGTCACCAGCCAAGACAAATACAATTGTGTAAAGAGGAGGTAAGGGACCTTTAAGTTTCCAACTGTGGTTGCATAGTATACCTTCAATTACTTTTAGTGAAAATAAAGGAATCTATGGCAGAGAATCTCATTCGTCTATGGTTCTAGTAAATATATTACAAAGATCTATTTTGATCCATCACAAAACAAATAATGTAGCAACTATGACAAGACTTACACGAGTTCTTTTTTAACGTAATTACCTGTGTTCACTTCCAAACAATTAAAGATTGTAACAAAGAGGTTAAAATAGTTCATGCAGATTCCTCATTCAGTAACTGGGTAACTCATGCAATGTGCCATGCAAAATGCTACCCTAAGTGTTTACGCAGCCAATATGCTGTGACCTACTTAATGCGTACTAGAACACATCCTGCGTGTAACTAATAACATTAACACTGGCTCTGTTCCCTTCAGTTATGTCAGCAAGTCAAGACAGCACACCTGTGGTTCCTGCTAGGACATGAAAAGTCATACCAGGTAAAAGGGCTATAAACCACCTAACCTTTATCAAATGCGAAAATTGAGACGTATGTGAAAAAATACATTATTTTATTCCTCTTCTTCCATCCATATTTTGCCTGCTTTTAGGCATATTCTTGTGTCTCAACAACTCTGTGTGACCATTCTCACAGCAGACATTTTGACTGGTCACTCAGAGTAGGAAAAAAGCACAGGTGTTACTAATAACATTAAAGATGGACCACATTAAGCCATGACAGTGAGCCAGGATCCAGAAACCAAAGCAGCTACATAGAAAACATCCATAATTCATTTTTATTATACACCTGGGCTTTTGAAACTGTGGCACATTCAAATGTCCTTTGTGAAATAGGTTTATGTGCCGACCTCTCCAAAGCAGATGTTAATACAGCAGAGAGACATATCCTCTCTGATCTTATGGAAAGTGTTTAACCATAGGTGTTACTCACAGAAGTGTTCACCAGGTGGTCTTTTGTTTGTTTGCCCTTTCACTTATACCATCTTTTCGCATTGGGGATATGGAAATAAACTACTGTACTTTTATATTTGGGTACAATATACTGTATATTGTTGTAATGTAAAACATGGTGTGAAAAATCTGTTGAGAATCTGTGATGCTATTCAAAATGTTACAGTACATTATACATACATGTTATATTGCCAGAACCTAAATGTCCTTCTATTTGTAATGGTTTGATATTATTAGTCTGGCTTGGACAACAAGGCTTTAAGTCAAAGCTTAACGCTTAACAAAAAGCTTTAACATGTTTAAAACTACTGTGGCTGTTTTTTGAAGCAAGAAAACACATTGTTGCCATTATAACGATACATCACCCTCACTCAAAGGCAGATCTGAAGTGACCAAACTGTCTTTCCCAATAACAAACAGACAATTGCTGTTTTTGGTTCAACACAACCTAGCCCTAGGGGGATAGTTGTCCAAACATCTTTTAGTTTGGCTGGCAATAACAAATGGAAAGTCACCCTTTGCAAAGTGGATAGACCTGGTTATCACCATCCTGTAAAATGTGTACGGTCATATCCTTGGCGTTAAATACAACAGACTTCAAATAGAAACAACAACAATGAGTAAAAACGTCCAGCTCTAAAAACATTCAGTGAGACAGCCCAAAAATGTTGATTATTCCAATAACCACGTCTGAACAAGTCACCAAAGGAGGGCCCACTAAGTTGTAGATAGCACCAAGGTTACTCTTCAGTGCAGACAGGAAAGTGGAGCAGGCACTAGCCAGAGAGATGAAAGTTACAGGGTCAATGCAATGTCAAAAGACAAACAAAGGAAATATGTTCATAATTTAGTAATTACTTCCATGGTGTAGAAGACAGGAAGTTTAGTTAACCAATCGGCTCAAGACTTTCTCTTCAGCTTCCACAAAGGATGGCACTGAGCAGGTCCAAATTGTTTCTAATGCTGCACGCAAGGTTTCAGCATGTGGTCAGGAAGCTCACAGACAACAAAGAAAAAGAAGATTATGCTTTCCTTTGCAATCCACTTTGGGAAGGTTAATGATTGGCAAAGACTCTGTCTTGCGCTGTGCCTTTTGGAAGTAATACGAGGTGGAAGCATCATACAATACACGAGGCATATTGGTCTCCATCTCTAACAAGATTTCACACAATGATATTAAACAAGCATCTATCCAATTGAAGGTGGATGCTGAGGCCTTGAAAGGACATGAATGCAGTAGCGATAAGGAGTCACGTTTACGGAGGAAATTACAAAGGTGCTTTGGAAGTGGAAAGACAAAGATGAGAAGGAAGACATACGGATTCAGTGTCAAGCAACAGATGGTGAAGGGGGCCTCTGTAAACCACGACCCAATTGTAAAACTTGGAATTGTAAAAACAGATTGTGGGAAGAGGGTGTCGCCTTTGGAGTGCCTGGCGACATGTTTAAATAACTTAAGCTGTGCAGCTGTAAAGTTAGAGGCCAATACATCATCACTCATCTTGATCAAAGTCAGTAAACGCTAAGTGCTGCTTGAGAGCTAGCTACAGGGCTAACTGGCAGACAGAAAGAAGGATAGAATAAAAAGAGACCAAGGGTGAGAGAGAGAAATGTATGGGCATTATAAAAAAAGGCAAAGCCAAGAGACAATAAGACAAAGACAAAGGAAAGGATTATTCTCCATGAGAGGATTTTCACAGTGACTTTCATTCTTGTCATCTTTGTGGTTGGAGTAAGAATGGATCTGTGTGGTTTAGCCTGCTACTCCCTCCTCTGATTACCGCTCTAATTGGTCAGTTTGGGAGACACTCATCCCATAATCGCCTGCCTGTGGTCTACGAGAGACAGTCTCCCAGGGTGCCATCGACATGGCAGCACGGGGTACGAACATATTGGACAGGTTTCAGGAAGTTAAAGTAAGGAACGTGTGTATATTTAAGTGATACATTCATGGATTGTCCTTAGAGCGAAAAACATCATGTTTTTTTAGTAACAGCAAACTGAATACTAATTGGCTTTTAAGCTGTAGGTCCAACAAGCTATCAAATAGGTCATGAGAATTGTCCTAAATGAAAGCCCTAAATTGTCAACTTAATTTATTTGGGTTTTGGACAAAACAAGAAATTGACACCTTTTGCTTTCGGAAACAATGGTGGGATTTGACAGACATATTTGTATATAGAGATAAAGACCATAAACTAAATCAGTAAAGCAAAAAGCAGATTGTTTGGTTACGAAAATAATCATTGATCGAAGCCCTAGATAAAACATTTACAACCTGTTGTAAACAAATGCTGCACAAATTATACACCAGCTCTTCCAGTATATTTTATATGATTAAAAATCTAAGTGAGATAAAAAGTATATCAATTCGGCAATACCTAATAATACATATAGAACTGTTGAAATATGCAGCGACAACATATGTTATTTTATTGAAATGTATGAGAATAATATTGTATATATATATATATATTAATAAAAAATAAGCCAAATATTCTTCTTACATTTTTTTGAAGCTCTTCATTAATTTATGAATTTCTATTCCATATTCAGGGATCTACATTTCTGCCCCCATTATTCTTGGCTTAGCTAAGAAACTCTGTGCTCAGAGTAGTAATCCAGCCATAATTACAGAGTGCCACGGTTAGTTGTCAGGGAAACCAAAGAGAAACTCTCTAGGAATGTTTTTTTCCCCTTGCAGCGCATGTCTCTTTCAGTTTGTGCAGAGCTGTCTCCTTCTGAATTGTTGTGTCTGATTTGCTTGTTCCTGTTTATTAATAGTGATATGAATCGAGAATTATCATATAATATGGACCTTGAGAGAACAAGGTCCACTTTTCTGTTGGAGATACAGCTTCGCTATAACACAGGTTATATAAAGATCTGACCAAATCTGATTAAATTAATTACATAGAAGCAGTTTGCTTTGAAAAATGCTTCTGTATGTGTTGCTATCCATAGATTGACACAGTTTCATTTAATTATCCAATAAAAAACATTTTAGTTTGGAACAAAATACTTTTTTACAGGACTGCAGATTATATCATGTGTTGTCTCATTTGTGTTTCCTTAGCAGCTATGGACAAGCATACACAGACCCACATATCCACTACCCTCATTTTAGAAAGGTCATGTATTTTACCTGTTTGTAAAATAGAGAGGGTAGAGCCGGCTCATTACAAGCACTGAGACTCTGCGTTCTTATCTTGTGTGTATGTGTGTTTGGGTGTGTGTTTGTCAGGGACATAGACAACCTTCAAAAGTTTCATGAATGTCACTTCAAACTTTCAACAGGCATTAACATTCCCAGCATTCTGCCCTTTGTTACAGACGTCTGGGCTTCAAATAAAGGGAGTGTGTAATGTCAAAAACTAAAATACGGAGTGAAAATCTGGTCTGTAGTTTAGTAATAGATCTAATGTCAGGGCAGAACATGTGCTTGCTGAAAGTATATTTCACAATCAAACACATACTGTCTTAATTTGACTTGAAGCACTCTCCTCCAAAGTTTCCTATGGACAATTGTACCATGCAGATATAACATGGACAGTTATTTGCATAATCTGTGGGTGGTACATCTGACACATTATACATGACTGACATGGTGTGGAGGCCCTTTTACACAGGGTAATCAGTGTTATGGTCATCAATCATTTCCAAGAGTGTCAAAAAAAAGGAAACAGAAGCGCATCATTCTGAGAAGTTCTACCAAAATTGGATCAGTGGTGTCTAAGATAACAGTTGACACACAATGTCCCACTGATGTAATACATAGGGTTGATGTTTTTATTTTAAATAATCAGTTTTCAGCTTCTCAAAAAGGTCCGATTTTGATGCTATTCTTTGTAAAGTTCTTTTTTCTGACAGTGTATCTGCAAAAATATTGATATATCTCAATTAGGACTGCCATTGAATGACAGTTAAAAGCTGTTTGAAGCCACGCAAATAAGGCTATCACAAAGCTAGTGAGGCAGGTTATAATGGTATCAAATATGCAAATAAGGGGTGAAACTGACAAGTTGAGCAACACAAATCCATCTTCCTACACAGTTACTATGAGCATCTATGTTCAGGTTTCAGGCATGTGATCTCCTGACTGTACATAATATGATGGATCTGCCTCTGCACCCACATGGCACTTTAAAACCAAAGCCATGTGCACTGTCAATGTGTTCAACCTAGACAAATACACCCCTTGTTATATTCCTTCAACATCCACATCTTATGAGGCTCCGTTCAGTCTGCACATTCCAGCCACAGCAGCTCAATGACCCGAGCCAGGAATGAGGCTTGGAAGCGGGCTCTGGCTGCAGCTGTGGCTGGTCTGGAGCTTTAAACCGGAGGAAGCTGGCCGGTCAAGTTCCGCCTGCCCAACTCCTCCTTGGTAAGAAAGCCCTGAGCTGGCATCCTCTATTATTCCCCCTAATGTCTGTTCCTTCAGCCGCTCCCTCTTGTCTGTCTTTTCTCTTTCTCCTGACAGCCATTCAAGGACAGACTACAAGACTGACCCCCCCTGTTTGCCGGTGTACCCCCCCAGGGTCCTACCTTGAGTGCAGCCTCTTGCTGGCCAGATCCTGGTCCACACCGTTAGCAGCCGACTGAGCCATAGAGCCGCTGCTTCCTGCCTCCGAGCTTGCTTCCACCCGCTATGAGGCCCCCCTCACAATTATTTCCTCCAGAGGCAGCTACCCTTTTCCTTCTTTCTGTCGTTCCGCTTCTCTGTCACTCCCTCCCCCCCTTTTTCTCTCGTTGTTCACCACTGTCTATCACCCTCCCCTCTTTCCTCATTCGCCACAGCGGCAGCTGCTCAGGAAGTGAGGTATTGTGCAAGTAAACCATGAAAAAAAAAAACCGCCTCCAAATTACGTCACAGGCCGGGGAGTTGCTTATGCGTGGAAGTGTTGAATGTGCTGGCTGGTGAGCAAGGGTTTTCCAACACATTTCATGCTTATTATTCAGTATGTTATTTTCTCAATGTTATATTTTTTCTGCAGGTGCTTTTATCCTTTATAAAATAGTAGCCTGTAGCCAGCTTTACCTTTGATAATACAACAAATGGATATGTTTGGGTGTGGTCAGAAGTGGGTATCCTAGGGTTCACAGAAGAAAGGTGTACAACTAAACCACTGAAGGTTAGAAAAACAAGATTTGTTTAAGCAGGTGTTAAAAAGGTTTTATTTACATTAGTCATGCAGGGTATTTACTACTATAAACCAAATTAAATAAATACTTCCAGTTTCCTTTTCCCTTACGAGTGTCTCACAACTTTTATTTTACTTTTAAGTTGAACTATTCCATAAAGTAACCTTGTATTAGGGCGAGTCAACACTTTAGAAATAATGAGAGGGATTTGGATTTTTCCAAATGTCCAAATGGACTTTATTGTCTATACCTTGTACATCCCAATAGGACAATGTAAAGGATGCTACTTCTCCACACTTTCATGCATTACTTTTCATTTTATTATTTGCTTTTAAATGGTGCATTTTCAAAATATGTACTTCTCAATAAATCAATGTGTCAAGCTTTTCTTTTTTTAATATATTCATATTTTCCTGTTTTATTTAGAAATATTCACCTGTCTCATTTCAGACTAACCTACGGGAACCGGTTTCCGGCATTTTCCATCACCTGACCTTCCGTGACCAGTTACTCACCTGTTTCTCATTTACCCTGGTTTACCCTGTAAATATAGCAGTTCATTTCCACTGGTATACTCTAACTTTCCAGCCTTGATATCGCTGCCTGTCTGAACCTGCCGGCCTGTTTCCCATACTGGTCATTCATATAGCCTGCGACTGCCTGCAACCTGCATGTCCAAATTAGCCTTTTTGGAATGGTCTCTCTATGTTTCTTGATTCAAACATAAAATGCATTTCTGTGTGTTATATGCCAAAATTACCTGGGGAATGATTCTTGATTGTGTTATTCTTTTTAATGGCGCTGAAAATGTTGTTCTCTTGGCCGCACCTATTGGGATAAACAACAATTAAGAGTGTTTTTTTTTCCTGCAGAGATCCAAATGAGTTGCCTTTCCTGGGAAGGTAACAACAGACACTCAGGTTTGGTACAGCAATTTGAAGGGCTTGCATCAGGGGGCCCTAGCCTAATTAATATAGCGATAGATAGTCTAATCCAGGGGTGTCAAACTCAAGGCCCGCAGGCCAGATCCGGCCCGCGACTTCATTTTATGTGGCCCGCAAGAGCTTGCAAAGAATATAATATGCTGCCCATAAATGACATGTCCCACAATGCATCTCATTTTGTGACATGGGCACCGAAGAGACTTGCAATTATTTGCAATTATTTGCCCCAGACTTCTGCTTTCAGACGTATTATTAAATTATTACCCTATCTGATAATAATCCAATGCAGAGGCAATAATCCAATGCAGAAGCAATAATGTAATATAATACATATATATTTTATATATAGTTATATAGTCTTAAAGTTACAACCGGCCCTTTAGAGTGCAACCATATTGCTGATGTGGCCCGCGATGAAATTCAGTTTGACCCCCCTGATTTAACCCTTGTGTTGTGTTCAAAAGCTGTTACCGTTCATGGTGTTCACAGGTAAATTTTGACCCATGATTTATCTCAGTCCAAAACACTCAAAAATATTGACTATCATCCAATATTGTTTTAACTGCATGATAACTAACTTATAATGCTTTCAAAACCGTACAATCCTGTACCCGAACACCAAATTATACACTTTTTATTTTAGAGACGTTCAGACTTGGCTTTTTTAGTGTTTATATAGCTGTTGTGGAGGATATCATGAAGCCTTGTTCCGTTAAAAAAAACTAGAGCGTAGTTATTATATAATTTTAACTTGAAACGGGTCGAGACCCGAACACAACATAAGGGCTAATCCAATACGCTGATTGTAAAATTCACAAAATATCTCCTGCCGTTGTGCTAGTCGTCAACGACAAAGTCGTCAACAACTGTACACACACTGTAATTCTATGAATCAACTTATTTTAAATGCTTCTTACCAGCCTTGTGTCATTTAAGAAAAAATGTACGGACTATACCAAACATGCCCATAGCGTAACTTTTACGTAAGTACTGTTAATAAAGATTTTAAACAAATAAAATATCACAACTTTTTAAACCTCAATCAATGTAAAAAAAATAAAGATAAACCTTGCATTTGACAAATTTCCCTTTAAACATAATTAGTTCGTGCAGGTCATGTGATCCTAAAAACGCGGGAGAACTTTTTTAAGTGACGAAAATGACATGTCCCTTTCTTGCCAAACAAAGGGGAGACGCGATTCTGGCCAACACTTGTAACATGTATGTCACGTTACATGTAAGTTTCGTTTGTTGTTGTTATAGCACCTCCTAAAGGCAACTGGCGTGATTGCAGCCTTTTCATGCTAGTTTTGATGTAGGTGTTTTCATTGGTCAGTAGATTTTTGGAATGGTCTCTCTATGTTTCTTGATTGCATGTTCACATGACTGAGTTGAAAGTTCAGCGGCCATGTTTTTCCAGCAGAACAGCTAGAGTGCCACATGTTATTGTACCTCCTCAAACATCCGGCTCCATCTACTCATGTGGACCTTGGAGAGGCATTGTTTGTAAGTTTGATGATTCATCTATGTTTATGGATTTCATTTATGTTTGTATTTTATAGCATGTCATTGTATTGATTGCAATGCTTTGTGCTTTTTACTTTCAGTTTCACAAGATTACAACAATAAACTGTTTAACTATCTGGTGATGTGTACATCATTGCTACGTGCCCAGGGGCCAGAATAGTGAAAAAAAAAGCATCACAGCGGGTTCCACACAGCAGACGCCTTCGTAAACAAGAGAGGTTTCTTCAAAGCAACTTCAACTCTGCCAGACTGATATTCCCTTAACACTAGAACCGCCAACGGGTAAATTTTACCCGCAGCTATTTTTGAAGAGCAACAGGCGGGTCCATCATCAGACAGGAGCTTTCTTATCAGGTCTGCAGCTGGTAGCTCTAGCTCAAGTTCCAAAAACTCTTCAGCTAGCTTAGNACAGCGGGTTCTACACAGCGGAAGCCTTCGTAAACAAGAGAGGTTTCTTCAAAGCAACTTCAACTCTGCCAGACTGATGTTCCCTTAAAGCTACATGATGGATGCTACACCTCACGCAGAAGAGCAACAGGCGGGTCCATCATCAGACAGGAGCTTTCTTATCAGGTCTGCAGCTGGTAGCTCTAGCTCAAGTTCCAAAAACTCTTCAGCTAGCTTAGCTGCAGCTAAAGCACGAGCTAAAGTTCTAGCTGCACGAGCCTGTGCAGCTAGACGTAAACACTCCCGCTAAGTTTGTTTGCCCCTGTTCTGATTGAAAGCAAGTACCTGCGCTCTTGCAAACTGTTCAAACAAACGCTTCAACTTATACAATTTTGAACCTGTATTTTTGAATATGGATCTTAAGTTTGCGTGACGTTCTGCTGTACTCGGCTGTAGTTCGTTTATAGCATAACATTGTGCTTCTAGCGATTAGATTTATGATTCGAAAATTATAAAAGTGGATATTATCCGGCTGAACAAAACGTGCATTTATCAAACAGGTTCGTTTTCCACAGACCTTATTTCAAGCTATTTTCCAAAATCCTATGGAGAAATCCCATTGCTTTTTTGTCGAGGGCACCCATGTGCAGCTTACTTCCGGGTAAATACGCCATCCCTGCACCTCTCTATTATGGATCTCAGATATATACACATTTATAAAAACATGTCTATGATGCGTTTTGCTCAAAATAACAAACAGATCATGCATTTTAGACATCCCTCATATTCCTCTATTTCAGCCCTGTGAGAGAAATGCTGATTCCGGGTCCTTAGCTTCAATTTGAACTGGGCTGATGCTGGCCCCGCCCCCTTTGGAGCACGGCAAGGCAAGCAGAAGATTGTCTTCTCTGCTGAGTAGCATTAAGCTGCAGCGCCGGAGACTGCAGTTTCAGGATCTCAGTCCTGGGACCGCATTCCTAGGACCCTAGTTTTTCGTGACACTGCCAACTAGCGAATTGGAGACATGAATATGAACGACAACGCACAGAGTGTGAGTAATGTGAAGTGCTTTTAAAGTTTTATTTGTTTAACATTAATAATTAATAAAGGGAGGCGTGTGGTGCAGTGGGTTGCAGTCTCCGACGCTGCAGCTTCATACTATTGGCTCTGCCAGCATATTGTCAGTTGATTAAATGCCCTATCATGTTCCAAACCACTTCAAGGATTATTTCTATGGAATATGGAGATCAAACGCTTTCTCTCTCACAGGTTTACCACAAGGTGAGTTCTTTTTTATATCTTGCTTTTTTACACTAATTCTCTCCAGAACAGTGTTAGCTCTGAGTGTTAGCAATGCTAATGTAAACACAGACCATATTACTTCTAAAACACGTCGCGCATTTTTTCTGATACAGCAACGTTTCTTATAGGGCCGTGGGCGTAAACCCAGCCCACATTTTAGTAATGTCGTCATGACCGCAGCAAATCTGTCTATCTATCCATGTATAAAAGACACCAAAAAGTGCATTTTGCATGATAGGAGACCTTTAACATTTAGGGACATAATGTAAACACACTGAGATATTAAGTTGGTAGGAATATTTGGAATGAATTCAACTTTTTATTGTCACAGTGAGTGTACAGTCTGCATTTTAGCCATGGTAGTATAAGGAGCACTGTACTATACAGCGAGGACATGACTTATAGTTTTCTCACTTTAATTTGTTATCTTCTGTTTGCTGCTTTAAATCCATTGGTGCTCCAGTGAAGGCTGCAGGGCCACAGCGGAACTGTACTGTAGTAGCAGTACGATCCTGCGTGTCCTTCACTCACGTGCTCAGTGAAACAGTGGCATGCTCCCTATGTGTGCCAGAGAACAGCCTATTGTTACGCTGTGACTCTTCCTGCTGCTCAAGGACAAATGTGCAGCTGTCCCACATACAAAGATAAATATGATATATAATACTCATCAGCACATTCACAGCTCCCTGCTCCTCTTTCTACTCTGGCAGCGTGTCATCATTATGTACTTGAGGTGTGCTATCTATAGTCTGTCCAGAGCCGCCTGTCAGCTCGCTGGGTCGGAGCTGCTCAGCCTCTCTGGCAGTCTGTGCAGAAACACCACCCACAGACTGGCTTTCTTCTGTGTCAGAGCTTTCTTGTAGTGAGTGTGTGGTTCAGCTGGGATGTGATGAAGGCCCACAGCAGGGAAGAGATGGAGTCCAGCAGCTGTCCAGCTCACTGTCTGAGGGTCAGTGTTTGTGACAGCTCCTTCATTGTGGATAAGATCCTTCTGGCTGAGAAGTGTGAGTATTTCAGAGCCTTGTTCCAGTCCGGAATGAGAGAGTGCCAGCAGGAGCACCTCCAGCTGCAGGGGGTGGGCGCTCCAGGCTTCCTGCTCATGCTGAGGGTCCTTAGGGGGGAGCGCCCCCTGCTGAGCGCCGACCAGATCGTGGAGGCCATCGAGTGTACGGCTTTCCTGCAGGTGCCGGTTCTCACCGAGCACTTGATCAACACTGTGAACTCTGAGAACTGCCTGCTCATGTTCCACACAGCGGCCACATTTGGGGTGAGGGAGCTCGCCCACTGCTCCGCCCTGTTCATCAGAGACATGTACTCCGAGCTGGAGGAGGACGTGCACACCTTACCCGACTCGCTGGTGGAGTACATCCAGTCCCTGCTCCCCAGCAGCTACATGGCAGTGTGCAGCCACTCCCCATGCACAGAGCAGCTGCAGGACCCCCAGAGGACCGTGAACTTCCTGGACGAGGACAGCAGGGAGTGGAAGGTGCTGACTCATCTCCCGGTGAGCACCAGCACCACCATGGCAGGCGTGGCAGTCCTAGACAACAAACTTTACATCATCGGGGGGGTGCATGATGTGAGCAAAAAGGTGGTGGAGAGTGGTTTCTGTTACAGCCCTGCAGCAAACACTTGGACCACCTTTTGTGGCCCCCAGAAGCTGCGCTACAACCTGACTCTGATTGGACACCAGGGCTGCCTGTACGCCCTGGGAGGAGAGAACAACAGGAAGGCCCTGTCCTCTGTGGAGAGGTTCAGGGTGGAAACAGGGAACTGGGGGTTTGTCTCCCCCCTCCCTTGCCCGGCAGCCCTGGTGGTGTCTGCTGTAGCTATGAGCAGGATCTTCATCTGTCTGTGGAAAGGGAAGGGGGCCACAGATATACACGAGTACGTGTCGGAGCGCGATCAGTGGCTCCTGGTCACCACGCTCACCAGGGAGCACAGTTACGCTCTTTACATGGTGGCCCACAGGGATAATCTGTACGTGGTGCGCAATGGGCCCTGTGATGACTTCCTGCTGTGTGTGATGGACTGCTACAGCCTGAGCTCCGGCCAGTGGACGGCTGTGTGCGGTCACTACGGCAACAGTAAGGGCTCCCTGCTCACCGCTGTGGTGAGAGGAGACTCAGTGTTCACTCTGAGCCGCCACGTCACCACAGAGTACACAGTGGAGGATCACAGGTGGAGAGTGACGCGGGAGATGAAAGGGTTCGGTAGGATTGGATCCATATATACATTTCTGATGAAGCTTCCTAAAGCCACTGTCTCCCCTTTGGGAAAGTCTCCAGATGTGAACCAAACCCTCAGAACCTGTCCCAGAATCTCCTCACAATGCTCAGACAATAACTAATATGCCTGTCTTATTTTCACTGCTTTGGTTCTAAAGTAATCCAAAGAGGCAAGACATCCATCACAGGCTATAGATGGATTTCCTGCTTTGTCCTTCGCACAGTGTTCATCCACTGATGGTTAACTCTTGAGTCCTAAACCCGGAAATGAGTTGGCATATTGAAATGCCTGAAATAAGATCTCTGGTTAACACAAACTGAGGAGATTGGAGTTATGCTTTAATAACCAGCGATGATGACATGTTGTGCTGCAGTTATCAATCTGTGGGAAGCAGAGAGGGAGTAGAAAGAAAATAAAGTTTTCAATTTACAAAAAGAAAAAAAACACACTGCCTCGGTGGACATGTCTTTAATAAAGTAATCCCAAATACAAACTACTCAGGTCGCATGAGAATACTTTCACATGTTCACATAATAAACACAGGACTGAAAGGGTGCAATATGGAATCATCATCATTGTACACAGTATAATGCAGTAAATGTACTTTTGGCCAGGTCCAGCTCCAGATATAATATTGTGGGTTATTCTCTGTGTGTTTATCAACTGGACTTCATATTTATTCCTACAGCGGATTTTTGGTTTCAGTTGTGATATGGAGTGTGTGTAGATCTTCCGTCAGGCCACGCGCATCATCAGCTCCTCCAGGGCGCGCTCCCGGTGGTTGTCATGGACCAACAGCACCTCTTTGATGGCGTTCTGCTGGAAGCCCATCTCGTTGAACTGACTCATCAGATGAAGAAACTCCTCTGCCTCCAGAGGAAGACAACATTTTTTTTTTTTTTATACCATTTCATCAATAAATCTTGTGTGTGGTGCTATCCTCTGCAGGGCTTACCTTTGTCTCAGAGTTTTGAAACATTTCTAGAGCTTCTTCCACCAGACTCTTATCATAACCCAGCTGACACAGGTGGTCACAGGCCAGCAGGTAACTCAGGATCTACACACACACACACACACACACACACACACACACACACACACACACACACACACACACACACACACACACACACTTATCAGGTTCAGGTTATTTATTTGTACCCGTAGGTAGATTCTGTTTGCAGAGAAAAAGACAAGGGTTCCATCCTGACACTAAAAACAAACACAAACAACAGACACATCTCTAATAAAAGGACTAGTAAAAGTATACCCAGATCAACCAAATCTCAAAATATTTTAAAAACATTTTAAGAAGGAAAACACTAGTACAAACATGGACATTCATAATTAAATAAATTAATAAAGATAGGCATCTGTGTGACACTCCTATGATTTGTTAATTTGTGCAATAGCTGCTGGGATAAAACTATTTTTATACCGCTTCGTTCTACTCCTTGGGACAAGTAACCTCCGGCCCGAAGGAAGAAGCTTACATTCTGAGTGCAGAGGGTGGGAGTCATGGTCTAATATGGAGCTGGATAACCACTTATACTTATGATTTAACTATTAACTATTTTAATTTTAATTTTAATTTAAACGTCAGCAAAATATGTAAGTATTGGGTATTAGTATTAGTTGTACTATTATACAGTACATATATTTATCATTAGATAATAATAATAATAAATTAAGTAATGTAACTATTAATGTTAAGCTTTATCATATCAAATAATTTTGATTATTATCATTATTAAATCTAACATATTATATTTTATTATATGATATACTATTTTGTACTATTAAATGATATTCTATTATATTATTGATGATGTTTTTTTTTGGAAAATGCATATAGCAATATGTTGGCAGCAAGTGTCTCCAGGAGTGTGTCCCCTCCCATCCTGCAAAACGGGGTCATGGGAAACACAGAGCGCTATGGAAACTCTGACGGCTATTTGTATCTTGCTTCACAAGGCTTAGTAGATTGTGTTTTGGTTTCATTCCCATGGGCGACTGGTAACTCTTTCAGCTATAAAAAATAACTGAAGAGAATACACTCACTGGCCACTTTATTAGGTACACCAGTTCCACTGCTCGTTAACACAAGTATATTATCAGCCAATCACATTTCAGAAACTGCTGATTTTCACGCAAAATCATCTCTAGGGTTTACAGAGAATGGTCCAATTAGGGTAATCACCAAGTGAGCGGCAGCTCTCTGGGAGAAAATGCCTTGTTGGTGCCAGAGGTCAGAGGAGAAATGCCAGACTGGTTCAAGGTGATAGAAAGGCAACAGTTACTCAAATAACCACTGGTTACAGCCAAGGAATGCAGAAGACCACCTCTGAACCACAACACGTGGAACCTTGAAGCAGTTGGGCTACAGCAGCAGAGACCCCACCGGGTGCCCCTCCTGTCAGATAACAACAGGAAACTGAGGCTACTGTTTGCACGGGCTCACCAAAACTGAACAAAAGAAGGTTAGAACATTTTTGCCTGGTCTGATGAGTCTCCATTTCTGCTGCGACATTCGGACGATGGGGTCAGAATTTGGCGTAAAAACATGAGAGCATAGATCCATCCTGCCTTGTATCAACGGTTCAGGCTGGTGGGGGTTAATAGTTTGGGGGATAGTTTCTTGGCTTACTTTGGGCTCCTTAGCACCAATTGATCTTCGTCTTAATGCCACTGCCTACCTGAGATTTGTTGCTGATCATGTCCATCCCTTTATGACCACAGTGGACCCATCTTCTGATGACTACTTCCTTCAGGATAACACGCCGTGTCTCAAAGCTCAAATCATCTCCAACTGGTTTGTTTAACATGACGATGAGTTCACTGAACTCAAATGGCCTACAGTCCCCAGATCTCAATCCTATAGAGCACATTTGGGATGTAGTGGAACTAGAGATCCACATCATGGATGTTCAGCCGACAAATCTGCAGCAACTGAGTGATGCCTTCATGTCAATATGGACCAGAATCTCTGAGGAACGTTCCAGCACCTTGTTGAGTCAAAGGGGGTCCAACCCGGTACCAGCAAGGTGAACCTAATAAAGTGGTCAGTATGTAGAAGGTGTATACTGTATAAATATAGAAATAAATATAAATAAAATCTGAAAGTTATTGTATGTGCAGTGATAGCAGGCTCTGCATGTCTGATTGGACTAACACAGTTAATACGGAGGTCACAGGTCAAACTTTTATTTTTAGCCACTCCTGAAGCTAAACCCATGATGTAACCCACTCTAAATGCAGAGTGGCTGCACTATTATTTACATTTACACAAAAGGTGAGCAGGATTCAAATATAAGTAACTTTAACTAACAACAAATTCAGCTTGTCATTGCCTCTCACTGAGTTGCTTTTTATACTCGCAGCTATTTCAATGCTAATGGCAGTCTCAACATAGACTGACACATCAAACATTACTGTGAGCTGGATTCAATGATGTTGCTCCTTTCACTCGAGAGCAAAAGCTGTTATATACACTGAACAAAAATATAAATGCAACACTTTTGTTTTTGCTCCCATTTTTCATGAGATGAACTCAAAGATCTAAAACATTTTCTATATACACAAAATAACCATTTCTCTCAAATATTGTTCACAAATCTGAAAAAATCTGTGATAGTGAGCACTTCTCCTTTGCCGAGATAATCCATCCCACCTCACAGGTGTGGCATATCAAGATGCTGATTAGACAGCATGATTATTGCACAGGTGTGTCTTAGGCTGGCCACAATAAAAGGCCACTCTGAAATGTCCAGTTTTATCACACAGCACAATGCCACAGATGTCGCAAGTTTTGAGGGAGCGTGCAATTGGCATGCTGACAGCAGGAATGTCCACCAGAGCTGTTGCCCGTGAATTGAATGTTCATTTCTCTACCATAAGCCGTCTCCAAAGGCGTTTCAGAGAATTTGGCAGTACATCCAACCGGCCTCACAACCGCAGACCACGTGTAACCACACCAGCCCAGGACCTCCACATTCAGATTTGTGAACAATATTTGAGATAAATGGTTATTTTGTGTAAATAGAAAATGTTTTAGATCTTTGAGTTCATCTCATGAAAAATGGGAGCAAAAACAAAAGTGTTGCATTTATATTTTTGTTCAGTGTATAAATACATACGTATAGCCAAGGGACAATTTTTCAGGTAGACTATGAGACGATTGGCCCTCTGGGCACTGAAGACTTAATCGTTTTTTAGCCTGTTTTCGTTGTTGTTTTGGTCTCTTTGTGACTTATTGTGTGCTTATGTTGTGTCTGTGGCAGACCGGGAAGGAGTGATAGCTTACAGTATCAGAGGTCTAAGTGTATGTAACAGTGACTGACCTGATCTGGGGTCTGTCGGCCCGTCCTCTGCAGGGCCATGATGACGGTATGGAGGGGGTAACCCCGGGCAGTGACGGCCCCAAGCAGCTCCCTCTCCTCTGGGCTCAGAGCTGACAGCAGGTCTGCAGACCAGTCCCAGCCAGGAGAGGATTCTCTGCAGGAGTCTGGACTGAGCCTCTGAAAACAACACTGTGTAGTGAGTGACAGTGTGTGTGTGTGTGTGTGTGTGTGTGTGTGTGTGTGTGTGTGTGTGTGTGTGTGTGTGTGTGTGTGTGTGTGTGTGTGTGTGTGTAGTGTGTGTGTGTGTGTGTGTGTGTGTGTGTGTGTGTGTGTGTGTGTCGTGTAGTGTGTGTACGTACGTACGTACGTACGTACGTACGTACGTACGTACGTACGGTACGGTACGGTTACGGTTACGTTACGTTACGTTACGTTAACGTTACGTTACGTTACGTTACGGTT